TGGTTCATAGGTCCGCCAGGTTCTAAATCATTTTTGTGTCCAACCCTGTGGGCCTTCTTAATGTAGGTCTGCTCCATCCTGCAACTGCTGCTGTTCTCCTGACCACTCTCCTGATTAAATTATTTCCTCGAAGTTGTAAAGAAAGACCTCAGATATCCCTTTCATACACCACCATAAGGCGAAGCATTCTCTACTGGTTGGTTCTTCTAAATAAAGCCAAGGCAGAAGAGCCCCCAAGAGAATGGCCCCAAGAAATGTAGGGGCTCTGCACCAAGCAGACTGACTTCTCATTACCCAGTTCTGCACTGGTCATCAGCTGTTTCTGGGCTTGCTGAGTGGCCCCAGTGACCCCAAGCAGGGAAAAGCATTGGTGAGGAATGACAGAATGTTATGGGCAGATGAACAAGAGTGAGATGCCGATTTCCAAAGGAATGGAAAACTGGACTCAGTTCTGGCCACCGGCCAGGGTTAGGGTTAGTGTTAGGGTTAGGATTAGGGTTAGGGTTAGGTCATGAAATTGGGAATTGCAGGTAGAGGATGATTCTCTCAAGGATTGATCTTTGCCTAGAGTTGCTTAGAATTGAGGAGGCTCTATTTTCCCAACCTGAGCTGACAGACATAAAACTTGGTAATGACTCTCAGCAAGGGTCACCTCACCAGCACTAAGATAAACAAAGAGGTAACAAACTCCCTCAGGGAACACAGAACAAGAGCAGGGAAGAGAGAAGGGTAGGTGAAAGAGAAGACCATCCTTACACTGTACACACATACATGCAAGCACATGAACAAACACACATGCTTGCTCACTCCAAGCTATGAGAACAATGGAAGCCTTCATGGCAGTTGAGGGAAAATATTAGGAATATGAGAATGAGATTTGATATGGACAGGACCAAATCTTTTTTTTTAAATAAATCTTTATTGTTTATATTATTACAAATGTTCCTCATTTTTTCCCCCTCCATTGCTTCCCTCCATCAGGTTCCCACTCCACCCTCTGCCCTTTTCCTACCCCCCATTGTCCTCATCCATAGATGCACGGTTTATGTTCAGTCTCTTCCCGCACACCCCCCACTCCCTTTTCCCCCGAGAATCATCAGTTTACTCCCCTTCCATAACTCTGATTCTATTATATTCACCAGTTAATATTGTTCATCAGATTTTTTAATTCCCTTGGTTTTTAGATTCACTTGTTGATAGTTACATATTTGTTGTTCATAATTTTTATCTTTATCTTCTTCCTCTTCCTAAAGAACCCCCTTCAGCAATTCATATAATTCTGGTTTGGCAGTGATGAACTCCTTTAGCTTTTTTTTATTTGTGAAGCTCTTTATCTGGCCTTAGATTCTGAGTGATAGCTTTGCTGGGCAGAGTAATTTTGGCTTAGGTTCTTGCTATTCATCATCTTGAATATTTCTTGCCATTCCCGTCTGGCCTGCATGGTTTCTGTTGAGAAATCAGTTGACAGGGTATCACCCAGTATGGGTGCTCCTTTGTAGGTAACTACCTGCTTTTCTCTTGCTGCTTTAAATATTCTCTCTTTGTCTTTTGCTCTTGGAATTTTAATTATGATGTGTCTTGGTGTGGTCCTCTTCGGATTCCTTTTGTTTGGGGTTCTGTGCGCTTCCTGGACTTGTAAGTCTATTTCTTTCACCAGGTGGGGGAAGTTTTCTGTCACTATTTCTTCCAATGGGCTTTCAGTATCTTGCTCTCTCTCTTCTTCTGGAACCCCCATAATTCTGATGTTGGTTCGCTTGAAGTTGTCCCAGAGGTTTCTTATATTATCTTCAACTTTTTGGATTCTCTTGTCTTCTTGCTTCTGTGGAGGAGTGACCTCTGGCTCTTTATGTTCCAAATCTTTGACTTGATTCTTGTGATCTTCCATTCTGTTTTTAGGACTCTCCATAATATTTTTTATTTCAGACAATGTATTCTTTATTTCTAGTTGATCACTTTTCATATGCTCATAGGTCTCATTTATTTTATCAGCCTTTTCTAAGAAATTCTTGAAAAACCTTATAACTGTGGTTTTGAACTCTATATCCAGTCACTTGTTGTCTTCCATTTCTTTCATTTGTGATCTGTTTCCTTGTCTCGACATTTTCGCTGCTTCCCTGAGTTGGTAGGGTGGCTTCGTTTGCTAAGGTATCTTATATGGTTCAGTGGGTCAGCCTCCCAGTTAGCTGAGGTGGACACTCTTGGTGCACCCCTTTGTGAACTGTGTATTTAAGTCTTGATTGTTGTTGGTATCACTGGGAGGAACTGACCTCCAGGCCAATTGGCTGTGAGGATCAGCTGTGTCTATGCTAGGAGACAGCCTTATCGACTAGACTTGGAAAATTGCCAAAGCCTTTGTGCTCAGCTTGAAAGGGGAGGAGTTTCAGGGTGGAGCCTACAGCCTTGGCTTCCGTCAACCCCTCCCTATGAGGTTCCTGAGTCTCAGTGCTCCTCAGTGTCCTTTGGTACTTGCTGCAAGCACCTCTGAGAGAAAGGTGTACTTGAGTTTCGCCAACTACCAGGCAGTCTAGGCTATCCCCCAATGAGCCTGGAACTGGGGTTCAGTGCAGTTGGAAGTGGGGTTGGAAGTGGGGTTGGAAGTGGGGTTCAGAGCAGTTTGGAGATTTTGTCTCCTTCCTACTAGGGCAATCCAGTGGCACAGTCAACAGTCTGTCTTCTGCACACAACGTGCGCACCTCCAGGACTCTGCCTTTCGCCGCTCCGCTCCCCGGAGTTTCCGCCTTACAGCTTGGAATCCCTCTGTATGAGCCTGGGTCCCCAGGGTATCACCCAGAACTGGGGTTCAGTGCAGTCAGAACTGGGGGTCAGCACAATCTGGAGCTTTTATCTCCTTCCCACTATGGAACACCAGCCAGGCACTCAGCCACCCCCTCCTCTCTAGCTCCGTCCTCTCTCCACGCATGCACTGTGTCTCTGTACTTTAGGCTTTTACAGCTCCTCTGATTTTCTTTCCGGTTTTCCCTTTCCTTCTAGTTGTAGAATTTCCAGTCAATCAACTTTCCTGTAGTTCTGGATAATGTCCATCTTGTATTTTAGTTGTATTTTTTGAAATTGTTGTGTAAGGCTGCAATTAGGCGTTTACCTATGCCACCATCTTAGTTTCTCTCCCTGAACAGGACCAAATCTTAAATTAAACCAAACACAGCTGAAAAGTCATAGAATGGGTACTGAGATGTCATGAAGGGAGCCCCCTAGTCAGGAAAAAGGAGAATTTAAGATAGCATCGGGAGTATCAACTAGTGGAAATTGAAAGTGATTCCATGTTTATACTTCAAGGACTGAATAACAAGGCCTTTCAAAAGGAAATCCTTCCCATGTTAGAGCCTCCTCTTCTACCACCACCTCTCCTCCATTTGCACTCTTCACCCTTGTATCTCCCACAAGTCTTTGTACCTTCTGGAATGTGCAGTGCTCCCTCAGGTTTCCATGATTTGGCTCATGCTATTCTCTCTGCCTAGGATAACTTCTCTCTCTCAGTTGCTAAATTCCTACGTGTACTTCAAAACCAAGCTCGAGCATCTCTACCATCTTAATTGCTCCTTCTCTATGTTCCCATAAGCCCTGAAATATAAACTCTCAAAGCACCTTCTACAATATGTCTCCTAGCACTTATCACAGTGGATTGTATGTTGATTTGATGAAACGGAGATTGGAACTGGGAAGATGAAAAGAGAGATGAACTTGAGATTTTTCACATCTTATTATGTCTGATATATTTTTGAACCATGAATGCATTTCCTCTTTGAAGAAAATTAAAAATGCAATGTAATAAAAGAATTGTTCTCACTACAATAAAAATTAATGAATTGTTGATACACAAAACAAATGGATTAGTCTCAAAACATAATGCTGCATAAAAGAAGCAGTCAGAAGGGCAGATGTACTGGATGGTTCCATTTGTATGAAGTTCTAGGGTGGGCAATGTATCAGTGGTTTTCTGGAATAGAAGATGGAAAAGGACATTGCAAGAACTTCTTGGGATATTAAAAAATTTTAAATCTTTATTATAATTTGTTTACATGGGTGTAGACATGTGTCAAGATTCATTGAACTATACACTTAAAATGTGTGCATTTATTGAATGCAACTTATCCTATATAATAAAAGCCTAATATGCAAATCGACCAAATGGCAGAACAACAATGACCAGTTGCTATGACACACACTGACCACCAGGGGCAGATGTTCAACATAGGAGCTTCCCCCAGCCTGCAGGCCCCAGGCCAGCCAAAGTGGTGCCCATGGGGGTCCCCAATTGCCCCACCAGTCACCCCACAAAGGAAGGACACTGGTGGCGGCAGCTGGGGACAGGACCGGCAAGTGGGGGCCCCCCAATCAACCCACATATTGCCCCACAGATTGGCCCTTATTGCTGGCCAGGTTTAGGGACCCTAACCATACATGAATTTTGTGTACTGGGCCTCTAGTACCTTAATAAGTTGACTGAAAAACAATGTAGGCAAGACAACATCAAAAGTTTCTGGAGCCTAGAGTTTCAGAATCCATTTGTTGTATTTGCAGACTGAATTGAGATGGCCTTGCTTGATATAAGTAGAGAACAGCAAAGCCAGGGTGAAGGCTCAGCAGGCTGGGCAGTGGAAGTTCCGGTTGGAGAGGTGCATCGCAGCCAAGTTGTGGTGACCTTCACTGCTAGGCTGCGTGTTTAGGTTTCACTCTGTAGATAACGAGGAATGAATGGAGAGTGTCAGCTAGAGCCAGGTGATGTGGGGAGGCTCCTTTGGCTCTCAGCAGTGCTTGGAAGAGGAAGAAGCTGGAAATTATCAATAGAGCACCATTTTTGCTACTCTCAGGCCAAAAATAAACCACAACCTCTCCCCATCTCAAGTTGCTGAAATTTGGGCTGCCCCAAAGCCTTGACTCCTCCCTGCTCTCATTCCCAGCTGGCTCAGTTCCTCATCTGGCCCCTGGGTTTATAAGCACCTCAGCCTCTGCTGTCACCTTCTGTAAGGGAGGCTCCTACGAAGAGACTCTGACCAACCTCTGCCCAGGAAGAAGCTGAGGACAAGATGATGACCAGACCACACTGTGTGGTAATGGCCCTACTACTGCTAGCAGAGGTCTCCAGGTTTGGAGAAGGAGCTTCTAATCCTGGGTTTGTGGTCAGGATCACCAAGAGAGGTCTGGAATATGGTAAGTGGGTTTGATCATTCTTCTGGTGCCCACTGTTGCTCATCAAAGTGATGTAACCAGGATTTTTGAAATCTCAGGTTGTGCCCTGCCCGGCTTAGAAACCATGGGTATGCCACCCTCTAAACTTCAGTTTCCTCATCTTGAATTATCAAAGGTTGGGTAGGACTAGATCAGTATTTTTTTCCTGGGTGGTCTGTGGGGCCTCCACATTAGAATTATTGAGACACAATTCTGGAGATTCATTCAAGATTGACTGATGTTGGGCCTAGGTATCTGCATTGTTGACATGTGGCCCAAGCAATGGTGAAAAACCCTAAGGTTTGATCACACTGTGGGAAATGATTCCTCAAAAGTCCCATTGTATTCCATCATTGCTTCCACAATCTGGTTGAATAAATAAATAACAATGATTGCCATTTACCTGACACTTTGAGTTAATGATCTAATTTAATTCTCAGGCTCAGGTTGGTATTATTATTATATTATTATTATCATTACCATTTACATGTGGGGAAACTGAGGTTTATGAAATTTAAGGGACTTTCTTGGGATTATGCCAACAGTAAGTGGCAAATCTTGCATTAAATCCTAGTCCTTTTATGATTCCAAAACCTGGCCACTCAACCGATACCTACCACTGAAGGAGCTAACTCCCTCTGTTTGCTCCCAGCCCGCCAATATGGAATGGCCATCCTGAAGAAGGAACTGTCCACCATCAACGTGCCTGATTTATCAGGAAGCTTCAAAGCTGGTTGGATGGGAAGTGTGAGCTATGAGTTTACGAGGTGAGGTATCCATTCTTTACCACAGGGGCAATGGAGGAGGAAAAATGGGGGCCTAAGGCCAAGAGGAAGGGAGATAAACATAGTATCATCACTTGAACTAGAGGCAAAAGGACTATAGACAGCTCTTATGGGGCCTCTGAAAAGTGCTATGTGTTTCCTGAATCTTCAGGATGGGAGAGAAACCATTTGAAATCTTTCACTAGCCCAGCAGGGAATGGCCCTGGATTTCCCCTCTACCAGGAATCCCTGGCACTCTCCTGATTGCCCAGCTTAGGAACCTACTTGAGACATACCATCCATCCCTCCAGAGCCTAGTGGGGGTCTGTAAGCAAGGACTTAGAGTCTTTCTGGAACCTATTCACATTTTATTTGCATGCCATCTCGTGAGGACAGCATCCACACATATCCCCTGTGAGGAATAAAGCAGGGGGCCTCCTGGTCCCTGGTGAACAAGTTCTAATTCCTCATCTCTCTTCCCAAAAGACTTAATGACCTTATTCTCCCTCCAACTTTCACATATTCAGTATTAGAGTCTCTCTCTCTCTCTCTCTCTCTCTCTCTCTCTCTCTCTCTCTGTTTTTACTGATCTCAGAGAGGAATGAAGAAGGAAAGAGAGACAGAAACATCAATGATGAGAGAGAATCATTGATTGACTGCTTTTTGCTTGGGATGGGGGGAGGTGGCGGAATGGGGACCAAGCCCAAAACCCTGGCTTGTGCCTTGACTGGGAATTGAACTGTGACCTTTTTGTTCATAGGTCAACACTCAACCACTGAGCCATGCAGGCTGGGCTCCTTTCTCCTTTTTAATCCACTCTTTAGTTGCATGGATTTTTCTTCCCCACCTCCTCAGTGTCCAGAGTCAGCCCTTAGGGATATTAATAGAAAAGGCTCTTCTTGGAATCCTTCCTGGAGACAATTTCCTGAATACAGTGGACCCAGTGAGCATGACAGAAGTCAAAGGGGAGGAGCAGCTATTGGAGGCAGGTGTCACAAATGAGAGGAAAGTCTTGGATCTTGAGGGAAATCTTCCTGGAGGAGGGAAAGCCCACCAGACCTCGTAGGATGTTGTTTCAGTGACTTGGTTGTCCTCTGTGGTTTAAGTCTATAAAACAGAAAGACAGTGTGAGAGGCTGGAGAGGATTCTGGGGATTCATTCAGAGGACTGATGTGGCCCTAGTTTTTCTGGATTTAATAGTCTGCCTTCCTTCCCCAGCCTGAGAATCCGTAGCTTCCAAATCCGAGACTCCGATCTGAGCCTGTTCCCAAAGAGGGGTGTCAGAGCCTCCCTGTCCAATAACTACATGTCTATTCAAGGGAACTGGAAGGTGAAAAAGGCTTTTGTGTAAGTAGTACTTGGATTAGAATGTCTCTCAGCTCTGGGCAAGGGTTCTACTCTGGACTTCCACTTCTAGATGTCCAATCTTTAAAGGTCCCAGCTCTGATTACCTCTAAGCTTCAGTTTCATTATCTATAAAATAGGGTTAATATAACCCAGCCCAGATGCATTTGTGGATTAAATAAAATAGCAGATGTAAGGTATTTGCAGTATGCCTGGCGCATAGCAAATTCTCAGTAAACACTGATGTCTTAGTTAATGGTAAGAAGTGGCTGTCAAAATAATATAAATCAAGCCACTTGAAAATAGAGCCAGAGCTGCTATGCCAGAGGAACTGCCTTGCATGTCTTATGTCTCAAACCTTTGGAATATTAAAACGGGGCAAAATAACCTTTGCACTGAGCCTAAAACAGTCTTGTGCCCCAAAGAACTGTTTGCAAACATAACAAGACAGTAGATATATGACTACTGGACTGATGCCTCCTAGAGTTAAATTTAAAAACAGCATTTAGAATTAATATCACTATGTTATATCTTCAGTAATAGAAATGCCTTCCTTCTATTGAATCATTGTTCCCCTTCCCCTTCTCATAAATACCCATTGCCTTTGTCTCCTGATTGAAACATTGCTTGGGCTTCTGCCTTATCAATGCTTCCTGAGTAGCTGTTGTTATTAATCTCAAATAAATGCTTGTTGCCTCTCACCTTGAAAGGCCTTTCGATTTTTAGGTCACCAGGGCTCAGGCAGGATGCGAAGCTGGTTAATGGGGAGCTAAGAGATAAGCCTGAGTCTGTGTTCTCCTGGCTCCTCTTTCTGGAGGCGACTGATTATTCCCCATTTGGTTCTCATTTCTCCGAATCAGCACCCTTCAGGGCACTTTTGATCTGAGTATGGACGGTGCTTCCATCTCGATTTATCTGAACTTGGGCAAGGACAGGTCTGGACGACCCACGGCCTCTGTGGCCCACTGCAGCAACTCCGTTGGCCACATCAGCATCCACATTTCTGGACACCTAAGGTAAGTCACCCCATCCACTTGTTGGAAATTGTCAGAACTGCCTTGGCATCCAGCTTGCCCACAGGCTGTCCCTGATGGACCAGAAGAGCAAGATTTAAGATTCATCAAAATCAGAGGTCAGCCCTGGCTAGTGTACTCAGTGGTTGGAGCATCAGCCCTCAGACTGATTCCCAGTCCCTGTCAGGGCTCATGCGAGAGGTGACCAGTCGATGTGTTTCTCTCACATCAATGTTTCTCTCTCCCTGCCAATCTCTCTTTCTAAAGATCAATGGAAAAATATCCTCGGGTGAGGATTAAAAAAAAACAAAAGATCACAGGTCAGTGAACTAACGTCTGTGGGCCCAATCCAGCAGGCCACCTGTGTTTGTAGATGAAGTTTCGTTGGAACGCAGCCACACTGATTTGTTTGCATTTGTTCTGGATGCTTTAGCAGTACGTTAGCAGACTTGAATAGTTACCACAGAGACCATGCAACATGCAATGCCAAAAATACTTACTATCTGGACCTTTAAGAAAGTTTGCTCACCTCTTGGCAAGACTGCCTTTAGTAGGTTACCATTTGAATTTGTTTTAAAAAATCCAGCATCTCAAAGCTACGCGAATGAATGATGGCAACTGCCTCCTACTCTGTTTTGGTTGCACTGCATCACTCAGACCCTGGCAGGAAACGAGGGCAACTCAAAAGGCTTAACTGACAAGAATCTAATGAAGAGAACATTCGCTGGAGCCTGGCAGCAGCAGGGAGCTATTACCCCCTAGGGTTGAAAGTGAGAGGGAGGGAAGGGTGTTTCTGGAGCCTGGAAAGAGCTGGAACCTTGGAAGAGCTTACAAAGACATAACAAAGTAAGGCGAGCTAGGGATATAGCGCTCTCTATAGCATGCTACCAAATGTGTTAACATAAAGTGGTAAAATATCTACGTGTTCAGGCATAGACTCTTAGGAACGAGGCATTAGACACTTAATATTGGTTCCCTGTCAAAGAGAGTTGGTTGGTTTCATTCTGTACCCTTTGCACTTTTTGAATGTTGAACTATGCAAATGAACTTGGACACATTTACATTATTAAAGGTATGGTAAGGAGAGTAAGACCCATTCTTTGTACCCTGCAAAGTCCACCACACAACTTATCTGGCCACTTAGCAATTAGTCATTCACTTGTTCCTTCCACACCTGAACGTAAGAGCTTCCTTTTCAAAGTATCCATTATATAAAAACACTAAAATGTAATATTAATTAGTCCTCTATTGATAGACTTCTCTTTTTAGTGTAAGGGGTTTTCTTCCAGTCTTTCGCTGCTACAAACAATGCTACAAAGGATAACCTTGTGCATAATATCAATTGGCATCTGGACAAATAAGTTATAGGATAAATTTTTAAACGGTATGTGCATTTTGTCTTTTTAATATATACTAGCAAATTGCTCTTGCCGTGGTTTGCTAGTTAGTGGCTGTTTCCCCCCATCACCGTCAACACAGCATATCATCAAAGGTTTAGCTTTCTGCCAGTCTAAAAGGTGGGCGTATGTCAGTATCCAAGGGTCACCTACCCTTGGGTTAAAGTCACCTGGCTGCAGTCTTCCTGGGATAACATGGGGAAGGTCACATCTATGGGTAGTCTTCTTGGAAATCTCCGTTCATCGTAAAGTGGGTCCTGACTCTCTTTCCTCTTTTCTTCAGCTGGCTCCTGAACCTCTTCCATAAAAGAATTGAAAACAAGATAAAAGATATCTTGAAACAAGAGGTAAAGAAAGGATAAGTAAATTTTTCCATTAAAAATAATTGACAGGTGCGTATTTGATATTTGGAAACAGTCTTGTCTTTTAAGTAGGTTATCATTTGAATTTACTCTAAAAAAACCTTACTCATTTGTGGTGCAAAGGCAAACCTCAAGGCTTTCCCCAGAGTGTATGATCACATATCTAAATTGGCATTTGAAACGGACAGTGTTTGATATGTAGTTGATAATATGTAATATTATCTAATAGATAATATTAGAGAGATATGGAGAAATCAGATATGCTTCAGATCCCTGCCTCACACCATACACAAAAATCAATTTCCAATGGTTTAAGGCAGTGGTCGGCAAACTCATTAGTCAACAGAGCAGCAAACTGTGGCTTGCGAGCCGCATGTGGCTCAAGAGTCGAGGTTCGCTGACCACTGGTCTAAGGATTTAAATGCCAAAACAAATCTAAAACTTTTTAGAGGATAAACTTAGGAAATCTGTCTCATCTTGAAGATAGGAAAATGTTTCTTAAGTAAGACTACCCACTCCAAGAAAAGGCATCATATTGAGAACTGCACTGGAGTTGGCCCTCAGTATTTCTCACCTCTGGACAAGGCCTTGGCCTTTGTGTATATTTGTACAAATCAACACACATCCTGGAGCATCAGAGATGGAGTAGGAATAGCTGGAATTAGGAAATCACAGGACTACGGGCTTCTGGGATCTCCCAAGCTGTAATTCATGGTTTACAGAGGAGTAAATTGGCTACTGAGGAATACAATTCTGGAGCAGACCCTCCAGGGCTTTACTTTGAAGCCCTCTGGTGGCCATAGTTAGTACTGCCTACAGACTGGGCACCATGCTCCTTGACAGATTCACTGATGATAGAAACCCCAGTAGGAAAAGGAGGCAAAGGGGTTGGGGAATGGGGTGGCGTAGCCTCTAATTCAAGAGCTTCCTCTTGTACCTAGAAGCTCTTCTGCTTTGTGCCTTGCTCTCTCATATAAGCATTTATGTACAACATTGCTTGCCACTCAGCTGCCAGAAAACCATGAGAGTGGTAGACCCTAGGGCAGTGCTGACTTGACCACCATCCACTTGTAACCAGGTTCTAGGAACTTAAATTGAGCCCATCAGTCTACGAGGCCAGCCCAAGCCCAAGTGGGACAGTGACCAGGTGTCGGGGGGGGGGGGTTAGTGGTCTCTTCTCTTTTTTCACCATACTCCCTCCCTCCCCTCACATATCTACCTACAAGGTGGTGATATAACACTTGGTTCCTAGAGTAGAGGGGGCAGGAGGAGGGAGAAGGAAGGGCTCCCATGACTTTCTCACCCACTTTCTCGGCAGATCTGCAGAATCGTCAGGATGTCAACATCCTCATACCTGGAGCCCTATCTCCGGACTCTGCCAGGTTGGGAGTCCCCTCACTTCTCGGGTGCCATCAGATGCCATGGCAGCCAGTGCCCCTAGAACCACCACCCCCTCAAGAGCCCTGGGAGAATTTTCCCCATTGGGCATCCCTCCATCTTACAGAGTTAGATATGGGATGACCACCTCTTGGGGGGGTCTGTTCTCTAGAGGTGGGGGAGGAAGGTGACTAAGGGTGGTGATTCACAAGCCTGCTGGGATGACAAGGTGGGCAGAAAATTAGGAATATGTGGGAGAATCATGTGTTTGCTTTTACAAGCCAGGGGTGCTCTGACCTCCCTGTGCAGGGCTGGGAACCCTTCTAGCCCTGACCCTCTGGCTGACACAGATACCTTTTACAATCACACATCAGGTCAGGTTTCCCCCTCTTCTCAAAATCTATGAAAGTCTCCTCTGACTCTCAGAATAACGGGCCAGCTGTGGGGGACCAGGCCTTGCATGGTCTGGTCCAGACCACCACAACGCTGTCTCCAGCTCTACCTTGCTCCCTTCCCCAACTCAGCCAGCCACTCTGGTCCCTATTCATCCCCCTAACATGCAGTGCTCCATAACACTGTGAGATCTCTGCACATATCACTCCCTCTGCCTGCACCTTTCTCCACATGTACCCCCCTTCACCCAGTCAGCACCTGCTGTTCCTTCAGATCTCAGCCAAAGCAACACCTCCTCTGGGAAGTTTTCCCTGACTCACCATGCAAGTCACTTTACTCACAATTTAACTCCTGTTATATGGCTGGCATCATCCCATGGACTTCTACCTAACATCTAACATACTAACAATTGAACATTTATTTCCTTGATTACCTGATTATTTCCTCCTCTGAACTTATGCTCAGTAAATACTAAATTAATGAATTAATCAATAAGTGAATGAAGTACTCTCTGTGACTGAAGATACATGGATATGCCCTAGCCCATTTCCACTCACCAAGGGCTACCGTCCATGTGAAAGGAGCTTCCTAATAGAATTTGCACAGCTGAGTTTAGCCACTGTTCATAATGCTGTCCCTTTCCCATTCCATAGTCACCATGATGATTGACCAGGTTGCTGGCATTGACTACAGTTTAGTAGGAGCTCCCCAGGTGACCTCCCAAGGCCTGGACACGCCCTTCAAGGTAAGGGGTTGTGGGTAAAGAGTCTTGGAGCTGAGAACTGGCAGGAAATCAGATGCATCTCTCAGAGTCAGCTCCTACCCTCCCTCTCCAGTCCACATCCTTGACCAGGGCCCACAGTGGGCAGATGTGATACTCAGCACGGCAGAACAAAACCTAAAACAAGGTTTCTGAACCAATGTGGTAAATCTGTCTGGAGTCCAGAGAGCTAAGCTTGAGTCCTGGCTCTATCACTTATGTGGTGGGTAATCTTGTAAGAATTAACCTCTATTAAATTGGAATAATAATAATAGTCTTCCCCATAAAGTTGCCATAGGAATTAAGTGAGATGTGTATAAAGTGCTTAGCAAGTACCTGGCACCTAGCACATACATAGGACAGCAATGTTATTACTATCTGCCCACTAGCTGGCAGACTAGGATGCATACTTATACTGTTTAGCTCCAGAGTCCACGCTTTTCACCACTGCTGGGCTGCCTGTCCTGTGTCCTGAGCCCGAGTGAACACAGGACGTACCTCTCCACCAAAAGAAGGATTTCAGGCAGCTGTCAGGACCTAGATGTTGTGGGGACAGAGGGAATCTTTCAGGACCCCTGACCCCACATTCTGGAGAGAAACTGCCCCCTTCTTTCCCTCCGTCCCCCCCTACCTCCCAGCACAGGTGGCCTCCATCAGGCAGGCTTTGGATGTCTCTGCCGGACAGCCTCTCTGGAAGGAACCCTGGGTGACTGATATGTCCTTCTGTCTCCAGGGTGAATTCTTCAGCCGAAGCCAGCGCACCCCAGTCCCCTTTGATGCCCCTCCCATCCGGCTGCCCCCGGAGCACAACCGCATGGCCTACTTTGCAGTTTCCCAGTACGTCTTCAACACGGCCAGCCGGGTTTACCACGAGGCTGGGCACATGAACTTCACCATCCGAAATGAGGATGTGAGTAGGGGATGGAGGAGGCTGAGGGTCCAGGAGAGAGCACCAAGTGGGACTGTAGACCCTCTCTGGATGTCCTAGGAAGCTAGGGGAAGAATGTGGAATTTGGAGCCTGCCCAACAATGAGTGCCAAGCCAGGCTGTGCCTCAATTTCCCCGTCTGTGCACATGGACCCCCCATCCCCCAGGGGTTCTATGAGAGATTGTAAAGAGCTTGTGTCTGTCGCACCATACGTGTTAGCTATTATTGGCAGGAATTTACAAAAGTAAGGTGGACTCTGGTGTGTTAGAACAGATTCTCCGGGCAGCAGATGCCCAGATAGCATTAGACTTATAAGAGTCTAATTAGGGATCCTGTGAGGGATCAAAGAAAGAAGAAGGAGGTGGGAGAGCCCTCAGACTATGATGCGATGTGGTGCTCACACCTGTGAACAGAGAGGGATGGCAGCCAGGTGGACATGCTGCTGCAGAGCTCTGGGAAGTCTCAGCCACACTGGTGTGGGGTGCAAGAGCAAAGCCTGCTGATTGGAGGAGAACCATACACAGGCAGAGTGAGGAGTCAGCTTCCAGCCAAAATCCTACGTGTGTTCTTTCACACAGTTACACAGGCCAGATTAGACCTGGGGCAGGGCCAGTGCTTGTCAGTATCTATTATAGAAGCTCAAGCCCTGCCCCCCTCCAACCCAAGACTGGCACATCAGCATTCCTAGTCTAGACACCTCCGTTCAGAGATCTCCTTACAGATGGGGAGGAGGAGACACCTCAGGTAAGACACTGTGTGCCTCTGATGAGACCCCTTCCGGACGGAGGTCTCAAAGACAGTTTTCTTCAGTCTCAGTACTTTTCTACTTCCCCTCCACCCTGTCTCCTCCACCTCTTCCCCCTGAGTCCACAGAACAGCAGGGGCTTTTTGTTCAGGGATCCCTTGGCAATAAGATGATCCCCCATCTGCATCGGTACATCTGACCCTCAGAGATGCCATGCCACATGGACAATGGGGATGGGGGAGCGCCCTTTCCTGCTGGTCTCTTCAAATCCTGGCAGTTACCTGACAAAATTCTCCAGCTCTACCCCCTACCCCCACCCCCCCACCCATGCTGCACAAGGGCTGGGAGCTGCCTGGGAGAGCGTGCCGCAGGTGTGGATGCTGTGCGGCCTGAAGGTGAGGCAGTGGCAGCCAGCTGCCCTCCTCTCTGCTGACCCCCCTGAAGGGAGTTCTGAGCAGCACAGCTCCAGAGCCCATGCAGTGATAAGTGCCATAGGAGCTGCCCAGGTACAGAGTGGGGATCTTGATGGACGAGAGATGAAGGAAGGTTGGTTAAGAACAGGTATAGGCAGGGTTCCCCAAAACAAGCTGAAAGATCATGAGGTGGGTAGAGAAAGGTGAGAGGTGGTGAGAAACAGATTTTGGGGGAAGCTATATCTAGAAGCTCACTAAATCCAGATTATGGAGTTGATCAGTCCTCATTGGCCTTTTAGGGGGATCATCCTGAAAAATAATAAATAGCAATAACAGACATTTATTAAGTACTATTTAGTATGTCCCAGGTACTGCACTTCAGGCTTTCTCCACAGACTATCTCATTTAATCATCGCACAGCCTGAACAGCAAGTGTCATTATCATCATCCCCATTTTACAGATACAGAAGCTAACCATGCTTCTCAGCAATCACTCGGCTAAAAAATGGTGGAACCCAAACTGTCTGGACTCTGAGACTACACCTTTCACCACCATGATATCCTGCTTCGTAAGCAGCCATCTGCTTCTTCTGCTGCAGATTCCTCTGGACTTTCCAATTCAATTGCACACCAAATCACTAGGGGCCGTGATTCCTCAGGTAAGACCGTGGCCTACTCATCATAGAGGACAAGGCAAGCCCCTTGACCTAGGCCAAAGTGGAGTTTGTATTTGAGCTATGCATAGACTTTCTCCAAACAGCTTACCTATTAGAAGCGTGGATAAAGAAAAAAATTGTTCATTTCTTTTGTATAAAAGTCCCATCATTCTGATTCCTTATGGCATAAATATGGAGAATCTGGATTCAGACTGCCTCTTTAAATTCAGAATTAAAAAATTGTGAGTCTGCTATTTTCTATCTTTGGAACTCACCCTTGTTGGGTCTTAGTTTCCTCATTTGTCAGAGAGACAACAATAGTACCTGCCCCACTGAGTTGTGTCAATGGGAGACAACAGCACTCAACCATTACAGTGTACAGATTCCTTCCAAGGCACAAATGGGGCATGTTAGCAGGCTAATAATTGATATTTGCTTGATGTTTATGTAGAGCATAGCTGAAAGGAGGCAGCAACAGAGTGAAGAAAAGCACTCAGCCTTTCCTCTTTTGAACCAGGCAATTCAGCTCAGCCCCAAACTTGCACACTAGTTAAAAAAATTGGCCAGCATAGAGGGAAGTATAATGACCATCCATTCTTAAAAAAACAAAAAACAAAAAAAGTATGTGTGTATATACTTTATATATATATATATATATATATATTTCAGAGAGAAAGAGAGAGGGAGAGAGAGAGATGGAAACATTAATGATAAGAGAGAATCATTGATCAGCTACCTCTTGCATGTCCCACACTGGAGATGGAGTTTGTGACCTGGGCATGTGCCCTGGCCAGGAACTGAATTGTGATCTTCTAGTTCATAAGCTGACACTCTACTGAGCCACAACAGCTAGGCAACCATCTATTCTTATTGGAACATGCCCATTTGGGTGTCTCACTCATCTCACACTCTTTATCAGAGTGCCCTTTCCAACCACAATAGCCATCTATTGAAAAGGAGTTCTGGCCAAAACCGGTTTGGCTCAGCGGTAGAGCGTCAGTCTGCGGACTGAAAGGTCCCAGGTTCGATTCCAGTCAAGGGCATGTACATTGGTTGTGGGCACATCCCTGGTGGGGGGTGTGCAAGAGGCAGCTGGTTGATGTTTCTCTCTCATCGACGTTTCTAGCTCTCTATCTCTCTCCCTTCCTCTCTGTAAAAAATCAATAAAAAATATTTAAAAAAAGAGAAAAGAAGAGGAGTTCTGGAAAATACAAGTTTCTCCATCCTGTGATATTTCCACTGCTGATCTCAGGCCCTTAGAGATTGAACTAGAGTCCCTCCATTTGTGCTTTGCCCTCTTTCTACAGCTGTCCAGGTTGTACCCCAATACAGAACTAGAACTTGAGATATCACCTGAATCAGCTCCATTCTTGATCTTCACCCCTGGAAATGTTACCTTCAAGCCAGTGATGAACATCCAGGCCTTCGCCCTCATGCCCAACTCTTCTAACCACGAGCCACTCTTCCAACTAAGGGCGGTAAGTCTGATTCTGGCTGGGGCAACAAAGGGTTATGTTTGCCATGGGTGTAAGCCCCTCCCTCAGCTGAAAGACTAGGAGACTGCACAGCTGATAGATGCTGGAGACTATTTATTTCCATTAGAGGAATAAGTGGGCCTTGCAATTCTGATCTGAATGGTCAGGCTTCCCAAGGGCACCTATATCTCTATATATAATAGCCTAAGTGACCATTACAGTGGAACAACCAGTTGCTATGATGCACACTAATCACCAGGGGGCAGACACTCAACACAGGAGCTGGGGGAGTGCTGCTCAGCCAGAAGCTGGGCTCAGGGCTGGCAAGCATAGTGGTGGTGGTGGGATCCTCCCCCACCTCCATGGCAATGCTAAGGAGCAGCGAGCTGAGTGGTAAGAAGTGAGAAATTCCGGATTGCGAGAGGGATGTCCAACTGCCGGCTTAGGCCCAATCCCTAGGGTGCCGACAGTCAGTCATCCCCTAAGGGGTACCGGACTGAGAGAGGGTGCAGGCTGGGCTGAGGGACACACCCCCACCTGAGTGCATGGATTTTGTGCACTGGGCCTCTAGTAGTTAATATTATCAGAGTTTTAAGAAACCTTAAAAGTCATTCACTCCAGCTGAGTTGAAAATTTTAGCTTTATCGCTGCTGTTGGTTATAAAAAAAATTGTTTAAAGCATAACCCTATTTAAATTATTATAAATGAAAGTCATCAAATTATCTTTTTAAAGAAGATATAAAATTTAAAGAACTCTTAAAATAGCAATACTCCTGCTATTGATTTATAGACTCAACATAACCCCTATCAAAAATTTTTTTTTGCCAGATAACAAGCTGATTCCAAAATTCATATGTAAATTCAAGAAACCCAGAATAGCCAAAGCAATCTTGAAAAATAAAAATAAAGTTGCATAACTCATACTTTCCTATTTCAAAATGTACTATGAAGCTACACTAATCAAGATGGTATGGTACTGGTGCAAGGATAGATATAAATATCAATAGAATAGAATTAAGAATCCAGAATTAATTCCCCATATTTATAGTCAATTGATTTTCAACCAGGGAACAAACATAATTAAATGTGGAAGAACAGACTTGCAGGAAATGGTACAGGGGCAATTGTACATCTACATGCAAAAGAATGAAGTCAGACCACCATAATCAAAAATTAACTCCAAAAGGATCATAGACCTAACTGTGAGAGCTGAAACTATAAAACTCTCAGATAGAGATACAGCAATATATTTTCATGACCTTGGGTTAGGCCGATCACTTAAAAGCACAAGCAACAAAATAAAAAATAGGTAAATTGGAGTTTGTCAGAATTAAAAGCTTGTACTTCAAGGACACCGCCATTCTAGAAAGTGAAAAGACAGCCCCCAGAATCAGAGAAAACATTTGCAAATCTTATTTCTGGCAAGGGCTGAGGATCTGACAAGTGCTCAGATATTCTCTGAACTTCCCTTGATAGTCTGCTCCAAAGTCATGCTTGTAGGTCTCCCAATTCGAATACTCTGAGTCTAGTTTGGGCTTATTCCTCATTATTCTTTTCTCTCTCTTTTTTGTGAGTATGTATGTGTGAGATAATCCTCACCTGAGGATGTTTTCCCCCCCACAACTTTTCAAAAAGACTTAGGGAGAAAGACACACACACACACACACACACACACACACACACACTCACACACTCATATCAACTGGTTGCTTCCCACACATGCACTTACCAGGGGCAGGGAGCAAATCCTCCATCTAGGTACATGCCCTTGACTAGGATTCAAACCCAAGACTCTTAGGTTCAAGGGGCAACACTCTAACCACAAGCCATAGCAGACAGTGCTTATTCGCTCTCTTCTTGATGCTTCCATTAAGATGGAAACCTCAGCCCTAGCCGGTTTGGCTCAGTAGATAGAGCATCAGCTTGTGGACCGAAGGGTCCCAGGTTTGAGTCCAGCCAAGTGCATGTACCAGCTGCATGTGAGAAACAATCAGTTGATATGTTTTTCTCAAGTCAATGTTTCTCCCCTCCTTTCCACTCTCTACAAAAAAAAAAAAAAAAAAATCAATGGACACATTGTCCTCGGGTGAGGATTAACACAAAAACACATACAAATGAATGCCTCTTTCTCTCTCTCCCCCACTTCAAATAAACAAATAAAATAATAATAATAATTTTTTTTTAAAGATGGAAACCTCAGAAATCTTAGCTCACCTTTCTTAAAGTTAGCTATGGAACCACTAACATCCTGCATCGTCAGTCCATAATCCTTGAGTAGCTGCCTCTAAGTCCCACATCTGGCTGTGGTTTCTATTTCTGGGGATTTGTCTCCGGACTGGGGGTCAACACAATGCCTACATAGCCTGAGAACCTGGGTGGTGTCCTTTTGCTTTTAGAGAACTAACATCTCCGCCACCGTCAGTGTGAGCTCCGGCAGGGTCCTTGGCTCAGTGACCCCGGGAAGGTAAGAGGCCATGGGTGTGGGTGTGAGCAGAGGGTGTGGAATGGGTGGTCAGATCATCTATTTCTGAAGATTTGTCTCCACTGGGGCTGTCTCATTCTCTCATCTGGCCCCTCTGGAAAATGCACATTGGCAATGCCTCAGGGGAAAAGCCAGAAGCTGAGAAGAGCTGCCAGGTGCCAGAGGTCACCTTCAGGTTCCCCATCACTATGGGATCCTCACTTCCCCTCATAGGCACCAGTGAAGGAGCTGAAACTTCTGCAAAGGGAATGCTTAGGAACAATAGTCCTGTTGGAGAGGGTGGAGTTTGGAGCTGTATTTGTAAGGCCTTTACATACAAGATTGAAAAAAATGTCAATATTACACACCAGAAAGTGCAGATTTTGGATGGAGGATTAAAGGTGCCCCAAACCACTGCTTACTGCTCCATCGCAGTACCTAAATCAATAGACAAGTATTTATTTAATCAGGGAGTTCAGGCTTTGAACAGCAGTGACTATACCGCCCCCCAGTGGTTGGCACTGGCCCTAGTGGTCCTCTCTTCCAGAGCTCTCACCTGTGCCCCATGTCTTAGCTGCTCTGGCTGCTGCTCCCTGCTGAGGTACAGGTGCAATGGATTCATCAGAAGAACAAAGTCCTGGCCTCAGGTTTAGATGTCTGTTGATTGATGGAATGCCCTAACTCCATTCAAATGAAGATTTCTGCAAGAAGTCTTTAAAAAGAAAAGCTAGTCCAGCCAGTGTGGCTCAGTTGGTAGTGTTCAATGCACAAGGAGGTTGCAGGTTGGATTCTCCATCGGGCACATGCCTGAGTTGAGGGTTTGATTCCCAGTAAGGGGCTTGCAGGAGGCAGCCAATCAATGTTTCTCTCACCAATGTTTTTCCCTCTCTGAAATCAATTAAAAATATCATTTTTTAAAAAGAGAAATAAGTTAATGGTGAGCTTTTAGAGGTGCCTGAATTTGAGTGTATGCATAGACCTAGCTTGCGAGGGGGAAGAGGGGAAGGGGGGCGGGCGGTGGTCTCTGCAGTATCAGGGAGGCTAGCCAAGAGCTTAGTCTGAGTAGACAGCAAAGTGAGCAGAGGATCTCACCCAATAATTTACTCTGGAATTATTAAAATTACTCTGCCTCATGAGCAGAAAGCAGAGATCTGTCTAGGGCTGCGGTTCGCGAGCCACATGCAGCTCTTTGGCCCCTTGAGTGTGGCTCTTCCACAAAATACTATGGCCTGGGCGAGTCTATTTTGAAGAAGTGGCGTTAGAAGAAGTTTAAGTTTAAAAAATTTGGCTCTCAAAAGAAATTTCAATCATTGTATTGTTGATATTTGGCTCTGTTGACTAATGAATTTGCCGACCACTGGTCTAGGGTAATTAGAATTCCTGAACAAGGGAACCAGGTCAGCAGCCAAAGGGAGCAATGAGGAAATTGGTGTTCGGCTTTTGTAGTGACAGCAATCCAGGTGCTGCGTCCCTCTGCCTTCCTTCATTCCAGTGGCCGCCAGCTGCCTGCCATTACCATTTGTGGTGCCTCTCTTTTCTGTTTTTTAATTTTAATATATATATATATATATTTTTATTTTTTTTTAAATTGAACTCTAGAGAAAGGGGAGAAAGAAACATCAATGTGAGAGCAAAATATCGACTGGCTGCTGCCTTTTGTATGTGCCCCACAAAAACTGAGCTGGCAACCTTTCAGTGCACGGGACAATGCCCAACCAATTGAGCCACAGCAGCCAGGGCCTAATTTCCATTTTTTGTTGTCTATTCCCATGTAATACAAATAATCCATGGTCATGGCAAGATAAAAAAAGTTTAAACAAAAATCACCTATAATCTTGCCCCATAGAGACTATTACTCTTAATAGTTTCATGTTTCCTTCCAGTCTATTTTTTTTTATATACATTTATATATAACTGGAAACATACAGTGCATTATTTTTTATATTCCACTTTCTCCAGTATATATTTATGTCATCATCATCTCTTCCAAGTTATCAAAAGTGCTCAGATAACACATTTTTTAAAGCCACTTCTTAAATCATAGTGCATGCTTAAAGCCTTACATTGCAGAGGAACCGTTGGGTGCCCAGCCCTGAAATGCCCTTGCCCATAGTGACTGCACCCCACAGTGTGAAAAAGTATTAGCCAAGGCCTGGAGTGAGCATGCTTCTCTCTTCTCTGCACAGTAAGCTGAAATTGGAGCTGAAACATTCCAACATCGATTCCTTCAATGTGAGTTGTTTTCAGTATTTCTTGACTGTCTTGTCCAAGCAGGTATCACGGGGTTCAAGAAGTGACAAGGTCCCAGAAGACGCACTGCAGTCTTGCTGGAAATGAGACACCTCATCTGAAAGTTAACCAGCCTGACAGAGGCATTGCCTGAGGGCTCAAGGGGCGACAGGACAGGGATACTGAGATTAAGAGCTTTGAAGGGAGACAGAGCTAGGCTCGTAGATCAGCTCTGCCACTTGCTAGCTGAGTAACCTTAGCAAATCACTCACCCTTTCTAAGCCTCAGTTTCCCTGACTGTAAAATGGGAATAGCGGTTACCTCAAATGGGGGCTGTCATATAAAATGGGACAATGAATTCAGTAAGACGCTTTGACAAAATGTCTCACATAAGCTCCCAACGTATGTTCATTATTGTAACAATGGTGACCCAGGTACACAATCCCTGATGGGTTTCAAAATTGAGACTTTTTGAGATAATATATGGGGCATGCACCACATTATAAAACAATTCCAGCGGGATGTGGGGCAGCACTCTATAATCAACAATCAACCACATTACTATTTCTGCCACCAAACTTTAAAATATGCACACAAAGTAGATAGCCCTATGACGGCTGCGCTCATTTTGCCTTAAAATGAGCTTGCATGCAGTTACAGAGAATGAAGTTCAAAGAGTTGGAGTTTGAGGGGCTGTGAACAGGGAGCTGTTTATCTGTGGTAGTGATAGGACAATCAACCTCTTTTGTAAATGGAATGACATGTCGATGTGTCCAGAGGTGGGGCAGCTGTTCTTTTATTGGACTCACTTTTATTCATGCCTCATTTGACCCTTTTGCTCTGGCCCCTCCTGTTCCAGGTGAGGTTGCTGGAATCCATCTTCAATTACTATGCATCCTACATCATATTTCCCTCTTTCAATGGTAAGAATAGCTGCTACTGACGGCCATATGTGAAGGTTGAATTCTGCCCTTTCTGTAGCATTTAAGGTTCATTTATTTAACAAATTGAGCCTGTATTCTGTGCTGCCTGGGGTACTGCCCCTCAGAGGTCACACTTTGTGGGAAAGGCATACGTAGAAGTTGATAAATGCCACAACAGGAGGAAGCACTGGGGTTTGCAGAGCTAGGAGGAGGCACTGCACATGACTTAGAGGTCACCCCAGGAGGTGAGAGCTAAGCTGAGTCCAAAGCACAAAGAGTTAGACCCAAGAGGAAGTATCTCAGGCAGCACATGGAGAACACCTGGAGTTAACACCGTGGGTCCTGAGCCAGGTCAGGACTGTGGTGCTTGGGGATGAGTCCCTGCATAGAAACTGCACAGCCCAGTGCTGGCCACTTTGGGTGATGATTGAGGAAAGGCTCTTGGAAGGGATAGAAGCCCAGGAGGCTGGAGACTCCTAGAGGCTGATTTTCCAAATGTTTGCCTGTGTGTATTTCCCCCCAACCCCTGAAAAAACACACACACAGCCCTGAAACCAGTAGTCTCCATTATAGTGGTCCATTCTCATTGCCTGGCTGCAAACGCAATCTCTGTCTCCATACCTCCCACCTCCCAGTGTTTTCTGTCCAGCCCACTCTGCTGTTTATCTTTCAGAGAAGCTTGAGGAAGGCTTCCCACTGCCTCTGCCCAGGGACACTTACCTCAACAGTGTGCAGCTCCAAATCCACAAGGTCAGTGAGAAGGGGGGCCTGGTGGGCTGCTTTCGGGTTGATGGATATTAGGGGGAGTTCTTAACTCCCATTTAGGTCCTAGACCTAATTTTCAGAAAAAAATGTTTTGAATTTTGGTGTATAAATGGTAGGTTTTGATGATCTGAAATCTGGGTTTATACACAATAGCTCAGTTCTCAATAATGCAAGTCCAATGTTAATTGAACACATACAATGTGCAAGGTCCTTAGCCATATATGGCAGGGTGTGCAAAGGCATCAGATTAGATGCAAAACTTTGGAGGTGAGGAGAGGCCACCTGAAGAAGCCCTCAATGTCCTTGGGGGAGTGAGAATCCCCACTGGGCCACTGAGCAGCCCTCCTACCTACAGCAGCAAGGGATGATCCTGGAGAAAAACTGGCCATGCCTTCTAGTGGTAGGAACCCATCAAGGCAGGGGACAGGGACAATCATAGGACAATTTATGATATAAATCCAAAAGTACTAGTTTACAATGTCTTCACTGTTCATGTTCTTTTAAAACTTCTTAAAAAATGTATTGATCATATTTTTTACTCTAAGGTAATCCAGGACTACATCCTCAGAATTATGTGAGGGGAGTGAACTCCAGCAGTACCCGAGTATACATTATTCCCTGGGAGAAAACATTTTGGAGTGTTTATGGATGTCTTCCAGAAACCAGAAGCTTAGGATATACAAAAATTTATTGGGGGCCAACAGCTGATAAGTTTTACTTTTATTTTAAAATATATTTTTGATTACAGTGATGGAGGATAGAAATATCGATGAGAAAATCATTGATTGGCTGCCTCCTGCATGCCCCACACTGGGGCTTGAGCCTGCAACTTGGGCATGTGCCTTTGATTGAAATCGAACCCAGGACCCTTCAGTCCACAGGCTGATGCTCTCTATCCACTGAGCCAAACCAGCTAGGGCAAGGACAATTTTATAAAGACCTCCTTTTATAAAAGCCTAAGGTCTTGGTTTCTGCACTAACTGGGTTTTTATTCGATAACTTGCCTCTCCCCGAGTTTCCTTTCCAGGAAGCTCCTATACAACTCAGATAATGGCCTTTCCTGTCTGCCCTTTTGTCTTCTCTGCAGAACTTCTTGTTCATAGGGGCCAACATTGACTAGACTGAAGACTGAGGATCTCCTGTGGCTGGAGGAGTGGACACACCACAGCTGGACTTGCCCTGCCTGCCCCGTGGAGTCCCAGTGGCTGTGACCATTCCATTTCCTCTCCCAGGAGTGTCCCTGTCCCCATGGACACTAATCACCAGGAAGTCCGCATGACCATGGGACACCTTCCCCAGCTTCATCCTCCTCCTCCCCATGTCCCTACATGTTCTTTGCAGCCGTCCTCAGCTTTACTCTGGGGAGCTGAGCTCATCGCCTTACCTGTCTGGTCCTAAAATAAACCTTGGTGAAGAAAAAGCATGAACCGTGTCCAGTCACCGCACAGCCCAAAGCATCCTACTCAAGGTTAAACATGTGGAACACCTTAGTTGTACCTGTCATCTGATGCCATGGTTAAGGGAGCAGGTGTCAGATACAAGGAGCTCAGCCTTGTTTTTGTTACTTCCTTGGTGTGTATTTATTGAGATGGGACAAATAAAAAGTGAGGGAATTTACAAGACCCACATTATAAGAAGTGTTGAAAGGAGTTCTACCCTGTATACAAAACTGAGCAATATGACATTCTCAATATACTTATCAGTGACTCCCTTGAAGGCTCAAACTGTATTCACCATCACCTCAATTCCAACATTTGTCTGGCTAAATTGCCTTTTTAAAATGAACTTTCAATCTGTCCATCTTTCCATACTCCCGGCTCTCAAATCTCCCCCCAGCTGCTGCACCAGGCCTCCAGGACCCTGCAGCTCCCAGGTGAGGATTGTGCCTCCTCGACCTTCCGCCCAGTTCCTGGGTCCCCTTGGTTGTAATGCTCTCCTGATTTCTGCAGGCTGAGGACCAGGGTGGCTCCTGCTTGACACAGAAGCAGGAATATGACCGGATATTTGACAGGATGTGCCTGGTGTCCCCATAGCAGCAGACATTACCAGTTGCCAACTTTTAAGTGGACCCAGATTCCTTTTCTTGGCATCTTTTCAGGAGCTACCAGTGACTAAAATGGGTCCAATAGTCCTTGGGTAGGTCTTTTTTGTTATCCTTATCTGAGGATTTTTCCATTATTTTTAGAGTAGAGGGGGATAGATAAACACCGGTGTGAGAAAGACACATTGATTGGTTGCCTCCCGCATGTGACTGGAACAGGGCCAGGAATAGAACCTGCAACTCAGGTATATGCTCTTGACTGGGAATTGGACCCTCAACCCTTTGGTGCGTGGGCCTATACTGTAACCACTGAGTAACAGGCCCAGCCAGGGCCTTGGGTAGGTGTTAAAGAGAAGGGGAAGACAGAAAAAGCAGCTTGGGGGCAGAGTGGAAAATGTCAGCCATGAAGAATGCCTGCCCCTGCAGCAGAGGCCATTAAGGTGCCAAATTCTGGCAGACTAGACAGCCTGGATTCTGCTCAGCCCAGCCCATGTTTCTATTGCAAATGCAGTAGACATCATGGCCTTTGGGTCATCCTCATGGACAGACTCTCCTATCTGTAAAATAGGATTGAAAAATTCATGCACGCACATCCTCACCTTGTGGTAGTTTTTAATTTTAAACCAAAGATCTCCAAAAAGCCCGAACCCGAGGACACCAGGGTCCAAAGGCAGCTGCTCCATTCACCCTGCTCCCACCTTCACAGGGACCTGTCCTCTCAAGTTGACACCCTGTATTTTACACCCCATATAAGTCTACCAACTCATCCCAGTTTGCCTGGGACTTACCTGGTTTTAGCAATTCAAGTCCCTCGTTCTGGGAAACCCCTCAATCTCACAAACTTGGACAGTTTGGTCACACAGCAGGCAGCTTTTCATGAGCCAACCCCCAGAGTCCAGGACACCCCACTTTTTCTGACATCAGCATCCGTCTCTCTAAGTCTACTCCTTCCAAAGCTTTGGCCTGACTGCCCCTCAACACATCAACTGTCATGGCTCCTAAATCTGAACCAACTACCATCCCTTGTTTACCTCCTAGTCCTAATTGAACACTTTAAACAATCCCCGTGGCAAATCTCAGGAGAGTGAGAACACTCTAGGTCTGAAAACGAGATCTGGCCCCTGACCCACCTTCTCCAGGCCATCTTGCTGGCACATGGCTTGATGCTGATTCAAAAGGCAGACAAAGCACGTTGGGTAAGGTTTATTAAATGGGTGGTGGAGGAAAGTGATAAGCAGCTACAAATTCAAGAGAAAAATTCTTGGTTACCAGTCATTCCGGACACAGGGCTGGCCCACTACAGGTGCTGCTGCGCAGAGCTGGTTGAAGTGGACCCCAAGCTTCCCTCTGACCTCTTGTACAGAGTGAAGTCGGTGATGCTCTGAGCGGGTGGGGGGGGGCGGCGCTGTGGTGAGGCTTCATGTGGGAACCTCCCTCTCAATTCTCTGCCCCTCTGGTCTCCACAAACACCACCAAGAGAATCTAAAAGAAAGGAAAAGTGAGTCCAGTGATTTGGAGCTGACATCTGCATAAACACAAAACAGCTTATCCTGTAGCTATCGGTTCCCAGCCCTAGGCATTAACTCACTTTGGTGAGAAATATCAGGGAACACAGCTCCCAAATCATCCTGAGGGTCACCGATTCATGGCCTTGGGACTTTCTTCAACGGTCTCTGATCTAAGGCTGGCCTCGGACAGGAAGTGTACAAATATTTAGTCTTCAGTGCCTCTTCTCCCCAAGCGACATCACCAAGAGGGCCCCGATCAGCCAGGCCAAACGAGGTCTCACCTGAATGGAAAGGGCAATAAAGGAAACCATATTAAAAGCCCACTTTTTATAGGAAATGAGTTTCTCTCAAGTGGTTCATGACCAGGACAACTGACCCAGGTAATAGTAACCCTCAAGAGGAGACAACTCAGCCCTCACTGTCAGGGGCTTTGACGCAGGTCCCACTGCATCCTGACCAAGGGAAACGGACCACCATCTCCAGCGGCTCTCACATCGTACTGTCACTATTTATCTGCCTCGCCTGTCACAGGCCCTGCAGCAGCCATCCTATTCTACAAAGACCCACTTTGTATGACCCAGCCAAAAAGGCAAATAAAAGATAACCCCCCAGAAAGACTTGTTAGGTGCCCAGATCTCTGAAGATCAAGACTGCCAGGCCCTTCTCTGCCCCGGCCAGTGTGGCTCCACTAGGTGAGCATCGTCCCATGCACTGAAAGGTCGCCAGTCCAGCGTATGAGAGATGGAGGTTTCTCTCTCAAATCAAAAAAAAAAAAAAAAAAAAAAAAGACTGCCAGACCCACTGAAAGCTAAATGAGAACACATTACAGAAGTGAGCCCCAACTCAATCCACAGCCTGCTATACTCAGAGATATGAATTACAGGTGGTGGTGGTGATAAACTGTCTTTTCAAAATGGTCACCACTGTCCATAAATCCTCCAACATGGCTGAGGAGCCCCAGACCTGATAACCAGGCTATGCCACAGGACAAGCCTCTGATGCTGAAGGGGCAGAGGGAAGATTGGGAAATCTCACGTTTGTTAGATGGCCACCTGTACCAGGTGGCTCACATGTATTTATTCTCACTACCTTCACAGCATCATGAGACATAAGGCAAAAGACATGGCAAACTGCATCCCATCCTCAAGGACGGGAGACATGAATGTCAACAGAAGAGCACCTGGGAACTAGACAGGAGCCCTCAGATCAAAAGTGGGGACCAATGCGAATACCTTGATCTCACCTCCAACTCACCTCAGCGAGGACATGCCTTTCAGGGGCACCATGCTGCATCTTCTGAGTCTACAGAGTGAAGGCAGCACCACAGGTTTCTGCCTCCTACAGGACACACCTGCATGGACAAAAGGCAGAAGATGCTGACTCCGGTCAGCAACACACCATTCTAACATTAACTAGAAAGCAAGCCATGGTTCAAGTCTACAAATACAGATGCCAAAGATCCACAGGCCTGAAAATGTCTTCTCTAGTAAAACCCAGGATCATCCCTTTCAAGAGAAACCACAAAAGCACAGGTCAAATGTCAGCGAAAGGAGAGTAACAATGTGCTTGACTCTCCTCCGTGACTGACAAGAAAACCCCTCAATTTTCTTGTAGACTGTGACAATACAAACTGATTCAGAATTGACAGAACCCCTCTTTGCCACTACACTTGGCCCCCAACTTTATTTTTTTTACTTCATTAATTTGATATTACCGACGGCCCCTGGAGAAGCAATAGTTGTGCTCAGGAGTCAAGAAGCAAAAACACACAAACACCACTGGCCGTCTTGAATAATGTATTATTATGGATTATGCTACACTCCTATAAATTTATAAAGCAGAACCCATGAGTTATGCATGCCCTTCCGCACCATCTGAATTTACTCCACTGTGAGGCACACATGTGAACACATGGCCTGGTTTCTGAGAAGTGGATCCTTAACTTGAAAAGACAGAGTGAGGCCCACCGGTCAGGGGGTCACCCAGTCACTCTATCACCTGGGGCAGCGAAGGATCCCAAACTCTGAAGAGAATGGCAGGAGGAGACAGCTCGTGTGTGAAAGTTCCCGGGTTGGGAAGGGTCAACTGGGCCTTTCAGCAATCCTCTCCCACACTATCAATGACCAGGGCACAGCGCCCACAATCAGGAGGAGCAGAAAAGGACGGTTAGGGCAGGAGACTGGTGCCAGGGCATGGCTGAGACAGGCAAGCACCCAACGGAGCAGAACCCCAACAGCTTCTGCTGCGTCCTGCAAATTCCCACTGAAATCTCTGCCAGAGTCTGGACATTACCAGCATAAAAAATCAGAAGTGCTTTTGGGTTGGGAAAGATCAGGATCATGTAGTCATAACATCACCATGTAAAAATGTTAAAAAACTTCTCTGCTCCCCCAGCTTTGATTTTTCAGATGAAGAAGTAGAGACTAGGTCACCACTGGATAGGTTCAGAGGTGGGACCATGGTCTCTGGTGTCTAAGCCCACATGCTATCTGTCACAGCAGCCTGCGGACACTCCGGCACTTGGAAAGGCAATGCCCCAGGGAGCCCGACCCAAGCAGGTTCCTGGAGGCCCCTCTCCCGTAGGCATGTGAAGGACTGCCCAGAGAAGGGACACATCTGTGAACTCACAGATGCCCCCTTTACCTCCCTTCCCTCACATTCCACCCAAGTCCCAGGGAGTATGCCTGTGACTTTACAGATGTACAGTGACAAAATTCCAGAAAATGGTCTGAAAAACTTACCTTAGGACCCCAAGGGCTGTGCCCGGCTGGTAAGGAGATTGCCATCTCCCATGGCACATCTGCACCCGCAGACCCATCTGCAAGGGACAAGCCATGAATGGGCACTTGTAGCAGGCACCGGGGGCACAGAGAACACGGTACAGTAGCTGGCAGATTAGAGCACCCAGAAATGTGGGCCGTTACTATGATTACCCGAACGGCCACACTGCCGTCTCAGGAACAAGAACTTAACTCTAGGAAGGGTCTGCAGATTGTATGGAGCCAGGAGTAACATCTGCGTCATCCTGTGTGCCAACTGTGACCAACTTGTTGCTAAAAGTTGTTGAAAGGATGCTGAGCCCAAGCTTTAGGGAGGGTGCCACGGATGACGGGCAGTGACTAGCAGGACCAGGAAGAGTACCGGGTAGGGGAAGGTCCCATGTCTACCATCTAGTTTAAGACAGTTTAAGAGGTGCTTACATATATACTGAGTGGCGAGATTATAATCTCTGAACGCATAATAATCTGGCCACTCAGAGTGTGTGTGTGTGTATATATATTTATTAGAGGCCTGGTGCATAAATTTGTGCATGTGTGGGGTTGGGCCAGCCTGGCCAGGGGGAGAGGATATGGGAGGTTGGCTGGCCTGCCTGCTGGTCAAACTCCTGGTGGAGGAGACAATTTGCATTTAGCCTTCTATTATATAGAATAAGACTGAGGCACTGCCCTCAAGATCGCAGCATGGGGACACGATAAACAAGCCAATACTTTCCAGTGTGATTGGCGCCAAGCAGTGGGTCTGAGGATGCGGGAAGGGGTGCACGTGATGGGGAGGCACAGAAAGGTTCCAGGAGGGGAGCCCTAGGAGGAGAGTGACTGCCCCTCAACCACAAACTCAGTGCAGCAGGGCATAAGGGACTCTCGAAGAGCCGCACAGCACCAGGCACCACAAACGGGTGGGAAGACATGTCCGAAAGCGTCAGGGTTTGGAAGGGACATGGGTGGACCCTCCAAACACGGGGAAAAGCTTTCGCAGTTCCTCTCCCTGCACTATCAATGACCAGGGCACAGGCAGCCCACGATCACTTTCGAATGCAGGGGCAGAGAAGGCAGTGAGTGAGGCCAGAAGGGAGGACACTGGCAGCAGCCGGAGAAACGGCTGAAGAGAGAATGGACCAGCACACAGGTCAATGATCTGATTACAACAGAAGATTACAGAGCCACATCTCACTTTCAGAGATGAGAGCCCCGCTGGTCATGACATAAACCCAGGCGTGGCTCTAAAACGCAGCCCTCTGTCCATTAGAACACACAGTTTCCTCTCAGCATCACCGGAACCTTCACCAGGGGCTCTCAGAAGAGGGCCAGGACCTGAGCCTGCTGGCCCCAGGGGTCAAACCTGGGAACACTGGGGAGCAGCCATCACTGCGCTCTCCTCGCCCCACATGTCTGGCCTATGAGCCTGCACAGAACTTGAACTCTAGAGAACCAGACAGAACATCACTTACCTGGGGTCTCATAATCAGGATCTCCCTGAGGACATCTCCCATTCATGGGACAGTAGTCACATGACACTCCTGCAGGGGGCAAGAAGCCAGCATGTGATAAGCCACTTGGCACCGCTTGTATGTCCAGAAAACCATCACGCTCAACAGAAAGCCACTTGGGAAGTCCAAGTGTTAGGATATGGATATGAATGCCATGACAGCCTGTCTCCCTTGAACCTGTCTACTTCATGCTTTGTCACTGCCCCTCACCTAGGGCTGTCCCCTCAGGAAGGGTCAAGAGTGGGTCCTCTGAATATGAGGAAAACCTTACACCTTTTCCTTTGCCTGCATTACAGGACACGGGTACCCTTACTCACTCCAAACTCAGGCGGAGAAGAGGACACAGAGCTGGTGACACTGCAGACCAGAGCTAAAAGACCACCACGATGTCTCCACCAGCAACCCATGCATTGCCCGAGGCAGCACCCCCTCACTCTCTTCGGTTAGAGCCTCACAGACACCGCCTCCGAGCCAGCACTCAACAAACCAGACACCAGGGGCCTGGAGGCCTCTCAGAGCTGGTGGAAGGGTGGTGGTGTGTGAAAGCTCCAGGGTTTGGCAAGGGATGGGGTGGACCCTCCAAACACAGGGAAATGCTTCTAGCCACTGCTCTCCCTGCACTATCAATGACTGGGGCACGGGCAGCCCACAGTCACTTTCGAATGCAGGAGCAGAGAAGGCAGAGAGTGAGCCAGAAATAGGAGCCCATGCAAACAGCCATGCCCAGGATCCTGAGCACTATCATTGCTCCACAGAGAGTCCATCTCCCCTCATCATGAGCTCCCTAGGACCCCACAGGCCTGGCTCAGTGACTGAACATCAGTCACTCAAATCCGGGTCACGCACATGCCCACGGTGCAGGCTCCATGCCCAGTGGGGACTGTGCAGGAGGCAGCCAATTATCATTGATGTGTCTGCTTTTCTCTCTTTCCCTCTCTGAAATCAGAAAGATTAAAAAAATAAATAAAACGAAGGAATGTAACCCAAGTTTCACAGGTAAGGAGGGGCTGAGTCAGGATCTGAACTTTTCTGGCCCCCAAGCCCAGTCCCGTCTACACCACCAGGCCCGTTGGGCACAAGTGCTTTGTAAGACAGCTCCCGGAGCCCAGGTGAACCCCAGGACCACCCCCTCGGCGGTGAGGCCGGAAGGAAACAAGCCCGAGGTTCAAGGGGCTCAGGGGCAGGAGCACTTACCCGGGGGGCCTCATCCTCTGGCCGCAGCGCGGGCGCACCGGGCAGTGCCATCAGGGTCCTGGAGAGAAGGGGCAAGGGCTGGTGCAGAGCCCCAGAGGCCGAGGGAGGGGGAGCTGTCAACTGCCTCCAAGAGCCGGAGCCCCGGGCCTGGGCTGGGAAGAGCAAAGCGAAGGCGTTAGTGCAGGGCCGGGGGAGGACTCCGGGGCCCTGGGAGCACCCCTGACTTCAATGCTCAGCCAACGGGTCGGTAAATGGAGCTTCAACGCTTCCCTTTAGGACTCTTCAAGGGAGAGAATCACGGTCATAAGTACGCCGTGCAGGCAGCAGACAAGCGTCTCAGGGAGATTCAATGCCGGGGCAGAGGGAAATCCGGGGCTCTGTCGCCCCTCAGGCCCGGGGTGACACGCGGCCCCGGCCCCGTTTCTGGCCGTCAGCGGGCACAGGCCTCCCCCGGGCGGGTGAGGACGGGGATTCTCCAGGGCACGAACCCCGAGAGACCTACGCCCGGCGGAAGAAGCGGGCACCCAAGTGGGGGCCGGGCCCAGACTCGGAGCTGACCTCCGGCCTCTGTTTCCCGATCCTGGGAGGCGCAGACCGCGCGCCCATCGCTCCCCGCAGTGGACTCACCTGGGCGCCGCGACCCGCGGCTCGGGACAGCGGCGGCGCGGATGGCCGCGGATTTCGATCGAGGAGACAGCGTGTGCCGGCGGCCGACAGCGGCCACGCGACCAGGACCTTCCTCCGGAGGCTCGGCGCCGGCGGAAACGAGGCTGCGGCGCGGGCTGCCGCCCAGAGCGGCGCCTCCCGGGACAGAGCCCGCGAACGCGGTGCCAGCGCCCCCTGGTGGAGCGGAGTTCTAATTCCGACTCTGGATGGGTTTGGGTTACATTTTTCCCAGGAGCAGTCTGGAATTAGAGAAATAGCGTTCTGTTTGTTCTGAAGGTGCTCCTTGGTCACGGATTTGTCGTTAATATGTAGAAATGATCACTCTTCCACTCTTCCTAGCAGGATCTCGTTGTTCACTGTGCTTAATGTGGGCGATAGGAATCTGTCTGAGTGACCACTGAATTCACAGCTCCTGGCTGAGTGGCTGTCACAGTTGAACAAATGAGTGAATTCTGTCCATGTATGTATTTGGCCATCACCAGTCTAAAATATTGTCTGAGACTCGAATGTGAGGGAGCCGAGAGGGGTATGCAGGTACTTGACTGAATCTCGTCCTAAAATTAAATGGGAAAAGAGTCCTTGACCAGATTTGCATGCGAGGAACCTGATCAGATGTGCGTAGTGGCAGAGAAGGCAGAGGTCCTGTGCTCCTAACATCACACTAGACACTGTCCTGGGAGGGGACTCATGGCTCCCAAATCTAACAAGCTCTAGCACTGCCTGTATCCCAAGCCAGGTGTACCTCTCAGACCCGGGGCAACTCTGCCACCAACCCAGCCCACATTCTGAAGTGTAAAACAGCACAACCTTGGCCCACAGTCAGGTTCCTGGCGCTCACTACGTCCTCCCAATCCAGATGTATGCAACCGAGAGAAAATGGGGGTCTCTGAGCATGCGAACACTACACATTAAGTATTCTGGGAGAAGTTGCTGGGATTCTAAGACTGTGAGAAAATTGGAGGGAGGGGATTTCTCTGTAATGGGGAGGGACATGGGATACTGTGGCTGTGAGGACACTTGGACAAAAGGGTCAGGTATACACACTTGTGGCCACTCAGCCTGCTGCCCTTTCCTGCCTTCTGCTCTTGCTCTTACTCTCCGTGCGACCTTGGCTAAGTGACCTAACTTCTCTGCCTAGCCTTAGTTTTCCTTTTGTGAAAGATAGGCAGAATCAGAGCTCCCCCCTCATAGTATTGCTGTGAAAATTAAGTGAAATGACTCATATCACAAGCATACCACAGAGAGAACATGGCGAAGGCATGGTAGTTGAAGTACATTAGTACTTCTGGGAAAGCTGAGGGCTTCTGTCACTGTGAGGGCCCTGTGGGATTATTTATGGGGCAGAGCAAGTGTGCTGAGTTTGAAGTCTAGTGGGCCAGACTTGACATTTAAAATAATTCAATGGAAACTGTATTCCTTATTTTTAGTGATTATAAGACTTACTACCTAAGAATGGTCAGAAAAGCTATGAGACCTGCCTGATATTTCTCTAGGGACTGGAGAAAGATACTTCTACTTAAGAAAGTCTAAAGAGGCTGGCAAACAAAACACAAACAAACAAACAAACAAACAAAAAACCCCCACACAAATAAAATTATGATTACATACGAGGAGTCCTGTTTTCAACACACTGGTTGCCTTTATAATGGATTGGGCTGTAACTCTGAGGCCAACATCCACCAATCTAGAATTTGTGATCTCACAATAGCTGAGAGAGCCTCTTTCCTTGGAGGAAAATGAGACCGGTGGCTGGGCAGATTGTTCCAAGGAGTTGATGCCCAGGATCAAGGCTAGAAGTCAACAACTGGCCCTGTGAAGCCTGCAGGAGCGCCAAGCTCCACCCCCACGCCAAGAATGATCACCATGCTGGTGATCTTGCTGTGCATGTTCATCCTCCTCCTTGCCTTCTTTCTACTCCTCTGTTACTGCGTC